ATTAAGAGAGTCTACACTACCGTTCATTCCCCCAGCAGCTCCAAAACACCCCTCAGTTTCTCCTTGCCCCTTTGGGGGGAGCAGGGGTGGTGAGTTGAGGGATGCATCTCCTAGCGCATTTGTAACTGTACCCCATCCGAGCTTTAAAAGCTTCCTGGGAGCCTCCTCAGGAACCCTTTAGGGTGGAGGGTTCCAGCAGAAGACGAGATCTCCGTCTGGGTATACTGCATAGATTTTGTTTGGGAGGAAAAAAAAAAAAAAAGATTCCAAGGCTTAGAGAAAAAAAAAAAAAAAGATTTAAAACTTGTGATTTGAGGGTGCCTGGGTGGCTCAGTGGGTTAAGCCTCTGCTTTCGGCTCAGGTCATGATCTCCGGCTCCTGGGATTTAATCCCGCATAGGGCTCTCTGCTCAGTGGGGAGCCTGCTTCCCCGCCCCACCCCTACTTGGGATTTCTCTCTCTGTGTGTCACATAAATAAATAAAATCTTAAAACAACAACAACAACTTCTGATTTGAGGGGCGCCTGGGTGGCTCCGTGGGTTAAAGCCTCTGCCAGGGTCCTGGGATGGAGCCCTACATCTGTCTCTCTGCTCAGCAGGAAGCCTGCTTCCCTTCCTCTCTCTCTGCCTGCCTCTCTGCCTACTTGTGATCTCTGTCGAATAAATAAAATCTTAAAAACAAACAAACAAACAAAAAACAACTTCTGATTTGATGGCACTCCCCTCATTTTACAGCCAAGAAAACAGCCATATTGGGGGTGGGGAATGGATGTGTCTTACCTAAAGTGATCGCACAGCAATTTCTTGAGAGAAGAGAGCGACACTTTACCTTTAAAGGGCAGCGGAGAAATGGATGAACAAAACAACTAGGTCATCAGCTCTGTAGGCCTTCTTTCCCAGGATGAGCTAATTCTGGGGGATGATTTTCCTTCTCATCGGCCGTAAGGACCCTCTGGGACACCAGAGGTCTTTCAGGGCTGTGTCTAGTGCTGGGAGTCCAAGGAACCATGTTCACAATTACAGTGTTATTTAACCATGTTCAAGGCACAGTACCGTTATTTAATCTGGAAAGTTTGAAATGCTTTGATTTGCCTAAATTCCCAAAGCCATGTGGGGAAGCCGGCAGATGCCGTGAGCTCGAGGAAAGAGAAGAAAGCGGGTAGCAATAGAGTTGGCCCTCCAGGGGCACAACTGTGCTTTGTTCTGATGAGGAAGCTTTGGGGGCGTGCTCAGGTTTTCTCTGCTGCCCGCAGGATGAGGCTCAGGCTCCTTGAAATGGTGGTCAAGGCCTTTCACAGCCAGGCCAACTTCACCCTCTAGCCTCATCTCCTACCTTCATTTCCTCTCAAGTCCCGGTCACCTGGGCCACAGTCTGAGCATACACATGGCATATAATCTCGGCCTTCCCGCACTTTCTCTTGGGGATCTTCTATTCATCCTTTAAAGCGTGGCTCAAATATCCTCTCTGGGACGCCAGAGAGTTCCTTACTCACTTTTGTACTCATTACTTTTGCCTCGTAGCTCTGTCGTAGGGCCTGCCACCCTGTTCGGCCCACTTTTTTCTATTTCCCTTTCTAAACAGGGAGTCGCACGAGGCCCCGATTCTGCCCTGAATCCCCAACACAGCCCGTGACCCAAGGTGAGCCCTCTGCTGGGTGTGAGGGAGTGAGGGAAGGGACAGGAAGGGGCAAAGTCTTTGAGGAGGAAACACCTTGATCCTACCCCCCACCCCTTTCTTCCTGGGAGGACTGATGCTGAGAAGTTCTCCACCTGAAGAGGAACTCATGCACCTCCTATTTCCTGGGGTAGAAATACCTCTCCTTTCCCTTGCCTCCTCACCTTGCACTCTAGGCCCTTAGGACCTGGGTCTGGCTACTCACTGCTAGCCTCTCTTAGTTCTGACATGTCTGTCTGCCAGGACATCTGTCTCCTGTCCCAGGCTGGCCTAGTCGGGCTCCTACTGGCCCTCTCTGATTCCTATGTCCTTGCCAATTACATCCCTGAAATCTATGCAGGTAGGCGGACGCTTTACCGCTCTACCTGGAATGACTGGTTCCTTGGCATTCTAACTGGAATCTTCTGGTGAATGAACCACAGACATCCGTATATCTGCTTTTCTGTGATCATGTGGGCATGGATACCGCTGCCTTCCTGGGGTTTTTTGTTCTCAAGGCTCTTTGAAAATTATGGCATGCCCAGGACCACTGTCTGAGCACTCACTGCACTGATTAGCCAGGGCTGGAAGATCCCACACAACTTTGCCCTTGACTAAGAGAAGAGAGGCTGCAATCTAACACCCTTGGACTTCCTGTGCCTTCTCCCAGATGATGCCCGCAGAGCACCATAGAGGCTCCAGGTCAACAGTCAGCATAGAATTGGGATCTGCAGCCAGAATACATAGTAAGAGGCAGAAGTAGGCATAGCATGTTATGCGATTGCACGTGACACTTTATCCAAGACTTTGCTTCCTGTCTCTGCCATTCTAACCTCTACAGGTCAGGAGGTCTCGGAGTCTGGGGAGGAATGTTTTATTCCTCCCCAGAGGGAACACTATGATGATTCCACTGCATCTCAAAGGAGGTCACCATGTAAGCTGGGTTGATAATGGCTACCGTGGGGAAACAGAGTTGTTCCTCCTTAATGAGGGCTGAGAGGTATATGAGAAGGACCCTTGGGTCACCACCTTGTGCTCTTGTATTAATCAGGATTTTTTGATTGCCGGTGAAGGAAATTCCACTCAAGTTAGGCTTGGCAACATAGGGGCCTTATTGGAAGATAGAGAAAGGCCTCAGGAAGCAGGGACCGGAACGTTGCCAGGACTTCCGTCTTTTGTCTCTGCTTCCGTGCACAAGCATCATTTTCTCCTGCTATAAACTGACTCCCACTTGGCAGGGAATGTGATTGCCGCAGCCCTGTCCATCTATCTTCCCTGCTTTGCCTTCCTTTTATTTCAGAAAGTCCCAGAGAAGGATGCTAACTCCCCTGGAGTGGGGTTCCCATCTGGGGACACATCAGGCTCCCATTTGGCCCACACGGTTAGATCTGGGAGAGATGGAGTCCACGGGAACGGAGTGTAAGGGGAGGAGAAGCTCTGGGCCCACAGAACCACTAATTATCTGACACAGCTGTAGGGCGCAGGAAGATCGGCAGAACTTGAGACCACATGGGCTCAGGGTGGCTTTAGGAGGATCTGGGTCACGTCATTTGATCACTTGGCTAAAGGCAAGAGGAACTTGAAGTGGGTAAGGGAAAATGGGAGACTAGTTAGTACCTGATGTAGCAATGGGGCTGAGGTCTTAAAAAATAGCAAAAGATGGGAGGGGGAAACAGAAAGAGATGAGGAAAAGACAAGAGTATTTTTAAATGTATTTGATCCAAAGATAAATTCATATCAGTTTTATTTTTTTTAAGATTTTATTTATTTATTTGACACAGAGAGAGACACACAGCGAGAGAGGGAACAGAGGCAGTGGGAGTGGGAGAAGAAGAAGCAGACTCCCCACGGAGCAGGGCCTGATGAAGGGCTTGATCCCAGGGACCCTGGGGTCATGACCTGAGCTGAAGGCAACCGCTGCTTAACGACTGAGCCACCCAGGCGCCCCAGTTTTATTTTGTTTTTAATGGGGGAAGAACGTGAAGAAGGTTGTAGCCAGTTGCTTGCTTTACTCAGGAAAGTGAGGGGTATGGAAGGGATCTCCTAGAATCTCATGTGGGTGCCCTGAAGGCTCAATTTGTCCCAGTCTCCTTTCTAGGGCTTCCTTAGGCAAGAAGTTAAATTCAAGAAGCCGTAACTTCCCTAACACCAGCCAGTGCTTTCTTATCATTAGAGTCAGAATCAGCTCCCAATCCATTCTTATTGCAAACCGAGGCCCACCCCTTCACATTTCATCCTAGAAAGAAGGGAGTGAGGGGGTCAGGCTTTAGTAAGCAGGAACTGAGAAGAGCTCACTGCACAGACACCATGGAGAGGTTCTCCGCCCTGCAGAGAGGGAGGTGCCAGGGCTTAGGTGCGGTACAGGAGCCCCAATCCTGTCCCAGAGCAGATTTTCTTTCTTCTCTTAAAACATAGCTTTCAGGGGTACCTGGGTGGCTCAGTGGGTTAAAGCCTCTGCTTTCGGCTCAGGTCATGATCCCAGGGTCCTGGGATCGAGCCCCGCATCAGGCTCTCTGCTCAGCGGGGAGCCTGCTTCTTCCTCTCTCTCTGCCTGCTTCTCTGCCTACTTGTGATCTCTCTCTGTCAAATAAATAAATAAAATCTTAAAAAAAAACCACATAGCTTTCATTAAGTGACTTTAATGAAATAAGCACAAAATAAATATATCATTTCAAACTGCGACAGATTCAATGAAGGAAAGGAACCAAGTGCCCTGGGATAACATAAAAGGGGAAACGAATCTGGTCTAGGAGGTCAGAGAAGGTTTATCCGAGAAGAGAGCTGGAACATGAGTAAGTCGAGAATGGGAACAGAGTTTCAGGTACGGGGGAACAGTGTGTGCAGAAGTCCTGTGGCAGAAAGGGTCGTGAGGCCTAATTGCAGAGACGGAGGGCAGAGGATGAAGCTGGGTAGGTAGACAGGACGGGTGGCTCAGAACCCTGTGGCTGCTGCCTCCGGGATTTACCCCAAAAAAGGGAAGCCATTTGAAAGGCTTTAAGCAGGAGGCAGGTGACATGATCAGGTTTTCATTTTGAAAATGTCACTGTATTTGCAGTGATGCAAAGCGATCCGAGGGATCCAGTGAATGCAGTTAGAAGATAAACCCCTCACCCGGCAGGCCTCGGTCAAGGCTGCAGGAGGCGGGGAGTCGGTTCGGTCACTCGGGCTGCGGGAGCCACCAGCTCGGCAGAACCCCCGAACCGGCCCACGTGAGCCCGGCCGCCCCGCCCCGCCGCGCTGACGCCGCCCGACTCCAGAGTCGGGGCCTGGGGCTGGCCGCGCCGCGCGGGAACCCCGCACCCCACGCCCGGCCGGCGGGGCCGCCCAGGCCAGCCGAAGGACCCCCCTCCCCCCACCCCGCCCCGAGGGACGAGATCCCGCCACCGGGTCCGCGGGAGCAGAGCCAACCGCGCCGGGGCAGGCGCGTCCAGGCCGTGAGTCGGGCGGGGAAGGGAGGGGAGGGGTGGCGAGGGGAGGGGAGCCGGTCCAGGTCTGGGGGGCGGGGTGGGGGTGGGTGTCGCAGCCTCCGCCTGGCTGCCTCGTATGGGGAGCTTAGGGAAGGATGGTCTCTATCCTCTGTCTTCTGGGGAGGTCTTGTCCCTCAGAGCTAGGAAGGAAGGGAGGCCGCCTCCCCGACCCTTACTGAGCCAAGCGCCGCCCCCTCCACCCCATCCCGCGACCCCGGCCGACTTGCAGATTAGCTTGGGGGGAAGGCTGATGTCGGGGTGTCTGGGTTCCCATTTCACCATCTCGGAGAACCCCGTGAGCCTCAGTGCCGCAACCACCGCATCTCTGCTTGCCTTGTGGCCCCGCCCAGCTTAGGAAAAAGAGAAAACATTTGGGCCGGCGAGGATCTCCAAGATAGCTTAGAGGGATGGGAGCATATAGGTCACTAAGGGACTCTGGGACTTTTGTCCACTACTGGACGTAGGGAGGGTCCCTGCTACCTACAAATACCTCTTCAGTGTATGCTGTATTTCCACTATCTCTTGCTCTCACCGATCCTCTATTTTTCTAATCCTAGCAATATGCGGTCAGTAGAATCCTCTTGTCGATTCAAACCCTAATTTTGGTAGAAGTGGCTAGTGGGGAGGGAGGAATGCTGTGATAGGCCCTCCCTCTGGGGCCTCAGGATGGAGCAAGCTAGGGCCGGACATGAGATAGTAGTTACAGAGGGAAGGGGGCAAGGTCAGGAGAGAGGCTTGTCAGTGGGGTGTGGGCACAGGGCATGGGGGCGCACCATGGGGCAGAGGAGGGAACTGAAGCCAGCTCTTCCAGCCCTGGGCAGCCAGCAGTAACCTCCTGCTACTGCTGGTTCCCTCTTTCTGAGCACAGACAGCCCACTGCAGTCCCCCTCCTGCATTCACTCCCTCAGCATCTGTGTACTGTGACAACTGCTTAGTGCCAGGCTGAGTGCTGGCTCCGGGGATAGGACAGAGGAGATACAGAAGAACTCCAGAATTAGTCACGTACAAGTTGCTAGCACAAGATAGTCCAAAAACAAAACAAACCCCCAAACGACTGCATAGAAACATTTACTGACCATCAACTCCGTTCCAGGGACAAGGAACAAATACGGACAAAGCAGCGTATACCAGTGCAGTTGGGGACCCAGGGAAGCCATGGTTAACTGTGCTTATTGATGTTTGCTGGGGTAGGCAGGGGTTGGTTATCAGGAAGGCCTCAGCGAGGAGGAGAGTTGAGAGCTGGGAGGTGAGAGCTGGGTTTGGGGTTTGTTCAGAAAGGAATTTGCTGGGAGAACTGAGGAGCTTAGAGGTGAGGGGAAGGGGAGGTTGTGTGTGTTGGGAAGGGAATTGTGTGAAGTGAATGATGGCATATTTTGAGGTTTCTGAGCAGTTTGGGGGTGGTGAGAGGGCCAGAGTGGAAGAGGCCAGTCTGGAGCGGTGAGCAGGGGCCAGCTGGAGCACAACCTTATGGGCCATGTGGAGGTTCAGCAGTTTAGAGAGGGCACCCGGGGCTGTGACAAATCAAGTTTACTTTTTTAACGGGAGGCAGGGAGATCAGTGAGAAGGCTGTGGCCATCCGTACTCCAGGGAAGAAATGGCCTGAACCGAGTGAAAGTGAAGTTTGATGGCTGTGCATACACGCACAGGGTTTCATGAGGAAGATTTGTCAGCACATGGTGGCTGGTGAGATGGGGGAAGGAAGCTGGCGAGGAGTCGGGGCTACTTACAGGTTTCTGGCTGGAGTGACTGAATGGGTAGTGGGCCATTTCGCTGAGCACACTGGGGAGGGAGAGCTGGTTTGGACGTGTAGAATTCGGGGAGCCTGTGGTTGGTTGCAGAGTTGGACAGCAGTCGGATCTGGGCTGGAGACACATCTGAGTCACCAACACCTGATGGTTCTTGAAGCTACCGTAGAGGATGGGGTCCTTTGAGGAAACAGGCATGGAGTGACATAGACAGGCAGAGAGAAGACAAGCTGCCTCAGAGGGCTAAGAAAACCCTACGGGGGAAGGACACTGAGTTAACAGAGAGGGAGGAGGAGAACCACAAAGGGAGGTGTTACCAGAGGGAAAGGGACTGAGACCACCTTGCCCCTGACACTAGGTTGCCATGACTTGAGACACCCCCCTCCCCTGCCCCTGGAACCCCTGTCCTGCTCTAACTCATTCTTCTGCTTCCTTTTTACAGACCAAATGTTCACCATCCAGCCAGGGCTAGCTGAGGGGGGCCAGTTCCCAGGGGGCCCACCGGGAGTATGTCAGCCAGAGTTCCAACCAGACAACAACTCTAACTTCATGGCAAGTGCCAAAGACGCCAACGAGAATTGGCATGGGATGCCTGGCCATGTGGAGCCCATACCGATGAGGCGCTCCTCTGAGTTGCCCTCTGACAACCAGGCGTTCCAGGACCCCGGACTCCCTAAGGGGGAGGTGCGCAGCCCCCCAGAAGGGGCAGAAATCCCTGGAGCTAAGCTTGAGAAGCTGGGCAGTGCCAGCGCGGTCTGCTCCCCGCTGGAGGACAATGGCTATGCCAGCAGCTCTCCAAGCACCGATGGCTCCAGCAGCAGTCCTGAGCCGGCCTGTGGGACCCCCCAAGGCCTGGGCCTTGCAGATCCCCTTCTGCCCTCGGTGGCCCGGGCTGTGCAGCAGCTGCAGGACCAGGAGCGCTACAAAGAGCAGGAGAAGGAGAAGCACCATGCGCACCTAGTGATGTACCGCCGGCTGACCCTGCTGCAGTGGATACGGGGCCTGCAGCACCAGCTGGTAGACCAGCAGGCCCGCCTGCAGGAGAGCTTCGACACCATCCTGGACAACCGGAAGGAGCTGATCCGCTGTCTCCAACAGAAAGCAGCCCCCTCTGGGCCCCAGGAGCAGGGCTAAGGGTGTGTCTCTGCCGGGTGCAGGGGTGTATGTCCAGATTTGTGCGCATGTGTGTGCTTGTGCTCAAGGAAGTACGTGATTATTTGCTGGTATGAGTGCAGGCAAGCAAATGTGAGTGTGTGCGCCGACCTGCAGGCAGATGCATCCGGGCACGGACCTGTGTGTGCACGCCAGCTAACTTGGGTGCGGGCCTCTGCGCGTGAACATAGGGTGTGTGGAGCATGTAGAGGAGAGGGAGTGAGTTTGTGTATGTGTGCATGAACAGGTAGCCAGCAATGTGCGTATGTGTGCGCGAGGGAGGATATATATACAGAAGGTGTGTGTGTATATGTGTGAGTTTGAGGTCGTGGGAGGTGTATATGAATGTGTCTTTGTGTGTGCAGGTGCAGGCATGGGAAGTGTGTATCAGGGGCACGTGTATTTGCAGGCAGACTCACAAGCAGGTGTATGCAAATACATACGCAGCTGTTTATGTGGGGGTATCCACACCCTGTGTTACCCGATGCCAACCGTAGCCTTCTTTCCTCTGCAGGGTCCCATTGCTCCGGAGAGAGGGCTAGCCTGCAGTATTTATCTGAGGGTTGTGGCTGATCCAGTCCCCTGAGATTTCCCAGGCCGGCTCTCCACCCTCTCCCCATCCCTCCTCTCAGACTTCGCTCTGCTAAGGCTATTGTCCCTGATGGTGGATTTGCTGTGGGAAGTTTGGTGGCCGCTCTGGCCTGCTGTGGCTTTTTGGCCACAGTTCTGCCGGGGCACCTGGTAGAGAATTAGTGTGAGGGAGGGGAGCTGGGGGTGGTGATCAACACTGTGGCAGGGATGGAGGCAGGTGGGATCAGAGAAGAAGATAAAGGGCTGTCTCACTTGAACTCTGCCTTGGGGCACATGGGAGATGGGGATGAGGGAGAAGAGAGCACAGAACCCTGTGAAGAAAAGGAGAAAGGGAATTCTAAAATACCACTTTGAAACAAAGCACACTTCTCCACGGCAAAGGAGCTGTTGCAGACCATATTGATTTAAGCTTCTGATGAAAGTGAATGTGTGCTTATTCGCTTGCAAGGAATGGATGAGGTGTTCCAAGACTGCTGGGGGAAAAAAAATCTCACTTTCTTCTCTGTGCCTCTACTTGCTGTGCCTCTCTGGCTTTAGCGACACTGGATGTTAAATTAGATTGGTCTGTTTTCCTGAAATCAGGCTGTCTGGGCCCAGAGGAGCCATAGTCGGCTTTCCAGGAGGAGCAGGGGGCGATGTCAGCCTATAACCCTGTCTGTCACTGCATGGTCCTTTTGTTGGGGGTTGACAGGCTCCAGCAGAGGCTCTGTGACATGGAGAGTGGGTGAATTCTGGGGAGAACCAAGAACTACAGGAGCCAAGCTCTCTGCTTTGCTTTTGGGAGCCATGAGGATACAAGGTCTTGGTGGGTGAGCAGTGGCATGACGCCAAGTCTCCCTATCTTCAAAATGGGGGTGCTCTTCCTATCTCTGAAGTGTTCTATCCCTGACAGGTGGGTGGGTGAAGGGCATAGGAAGTAAGGTTGAAGTGATGGTCCTGGGGACTTTTGTGTCTAGCCCTTGCATGTTGAGTATGAACCAGGCCTCTGGGCCAAGCCAAGGAATAAACTGGGGCAGAGAAATGCATTTCTTGAGTTTGTGTTTCTATTCTACCCATTGTCTGGTGGTCTCTTTTCCACACCGTGTGAGCTGCCCTTTTGAGCAGAGTTCTGGGCTGGGAGCTAGGGGACAGATGGGGAGAAAGTCACTGGGGAGGAGGAATTCAGCCTGCTGTGGCTCTTGGGGGTGACAAGAAGTTCTCCCTGGGGGCCTCTTGGTCTGAGAGGGGAGACTTGGCCACAGCCCGAGAGCCTTGTATAGGATTGCCCTTGTCCTAAGGCACCTTTGGGCCTGAAGGTGGGGGGTGGTAGGCATTGATGGTAAGGGATACATATGCTTCCTCCCTCCCTACCCCCATACTCCTACTCACCCCTGCCTTAGAGCCACCACTTCCCTGGAGGGTGCCCTGACTGCAAAAGACTGAGTTAAGGGGCGCCTGGGTGGCTCAGTGGGTTAAGCCTCTGCCTTTGGCTCAGGTCATGATCTCAGAGTCCTGGGATCAAGCCCCGCATTGGGCTCTCTGCTCAGCCGGGAGCTTGCTTCCCTCCACCCCCCACCCCGGCCTGCCTCTCTGCCTATTTGTGATCTCTCTTTCTCTGTCAAATAAATAAATAAAATCTTAAAAAAACAAAAACAAAAAGACTGAGTTAAGCTCCTCAGATTTGTGGCAGATGTGGTTACCATGCATGTCTGTGATTTCAGATACTTACTGCCAGTGTAGGCTAGACCTTCTTTTTTACATGGGTTTGTATGATGATTTATTAATTCATTTCTCAAAAATTCACTTGTATAACAAAGGTATCTATTGCTGTATAACAAATTACCCTAAAACTTAGGGATTAAAATAATACACATTTGTTATCTCACGATTTCTGTAGGTCAGGAATCTCTCACAAGGCTGCAATGAAAATGTCGGTTCAGGGTCTGTGGTTTTATTTGTTGGGAGCATTCAGTTCCTCAAGGGAGGTCATTTTCTGTTCCTTGCCATGTGGCTCTTCCAACATGGCAACTCACTTCATCAAAGCGTGCAAGCCAAGAAAGTGACAGCGTCCTAGCAAGTCAGAGGTGATGATTTTCTGTAACCTACTCATGGAAGGGCTAATCCCTCAATACTGCTGTATTCTACTGGTTAAAAACAAGTTACTCAAGGGGCGCGTGGGTGGCTCAGTTGGTTAAGTGTCCAACTTGTGATTTCAGCTCAGGTCATTATCTCATGGGTCATGGGACTGAGCCCCACACTGGGGGGTGGGGGGGTGGTCCATGCTCGCAGGGAATCTGCTTGAGATTCTCTTCCTCTGCCCCTCTCCTCACTCACACACCCACATGCATGTGCACCCTCTCTCTAAAATAAATAAATGTAGAAAAAATAAAAAAAGTCACTCAAAGGGAGGGTATTATATAAGACTAATTACCAGGAGGTTGAGGCTGCCTACCACAGAAGGCATTTTTTGATTGACTAAATAAAGGCGTATTTTTTATTGTTTTTTAATTATACAAACAAAAATTATGTTCTACTTTAATAAACTGGAACATTTCAGAGAAATCTAATGTCCCCTTGTACTTCTCTCCAATAAGATTAATATATTTTAAACCTCACAAAGTGTACTTTTCACTGAAACAGTGATCCAAGGCATTTTTTTTGTTTTGTTAAAGATTTTATTGATTCATTTGAGAGAGAGTAAGAGAGAGGGAGGGGGGAGAGAATCTCAAGTGGACCCTGTGCTGAGTGCAGAGCCCAAGTCGGTGTTCGATCCCAGGATTCTGAAATGATGACCTGAGTCAAAACCAAGAGTCAGCCTCTCAACCAACTCAACCACCCAGGAGCCCCAAGGTATTAATAATTCTGGTCACCTTGACATATGCCATTTTGTCGCGGCCAGCACGACAAATCGACAAATCGACCAGGAAAACGTGAGGGTAAGAGGATGGTGAAAAGAAATTAAGAGACAAAGAGATGGGGGCAGGAGGGACACTGAGGAGGATGTCCAACGGTGCCGATTTTATTCCACATCTTACAATCATTTTTAAGGCAGACCAGAATAGGAGGAGTAATACATCAATACCTAGTCAGATGACCGCAAGTTTCTATAACAAGTTTACATTAACTACAAGCAAACCTCGTGATGCAGGTAGTCTCAGCTAAAGCCATTAGCAAGACAATCAACCAGGGAGTGGGTTATGGGAGGTACAGGAACAACAAGGACCAACTAAGAATTCATGACCCTGACCACATTGTTCCCTTCTGTAGGGAGAGTGTGTGGGAAGTCACGTAGGCGAGTGCACGACACAGAGCACAGACCCTTTTCTCAGTGTTGCTCAACTTTCCTGTCCTTAACCTCATCAAGGTGTCCGGACTTTGAAGGAGACACAAGTCAGGGCCGGGTTTGATCCTCGACTCCAACCGTCCCGTGGCCTCCAACACCATTTAAACAGAAACAATATTGCATCAGTTTTAACAAATTCCACTTATTAAGAGATTTGTTCTAGCTAAGAGCTATAGCTTAATGCGCATAATTGAAAATTAATAAAAGGAAACCTCATTTAAAAAGCAGTAGGGAGAGCACCTGGGTGGCTCAACCGGTAAGCATCTGCCTTTGGCTCAGGTCTTGATCCCGGGGTCCGGGGTCCGGGGATTGGGCTCCCTGCTGGGTGGGAAGCCTACTTTTCCTTCCCCCACTTCCCCTGCTTTTGTCCCCTCTCTCACTGTGTCTTGGTCAAATAAATTAATAAAATCTTAAAAAAAAAAGAAAGAAAGAAAAGAAAGAAAGAAAGAAAGAGAAAGAAAGAAAAAGAAAGAAAGAAAGAAAGAAAGAAAAAGAAAAAGAGAGAGAGAGAAAGAAAGAAAGAAAGAAAAAGAAAGAAAGAAAGAAAGAAAGAAAGGAAGGAAAGAAAAGAAAAGAAAGAAATGCAGTAGGGAGGCCAGAAGGGGGAGCCCTCACCCCCCATCACTCCTAGTCAATTGCATAACCAATGGGAGGGGACTACTTTGCATTTCCGACAGGAAAAAGCTAATTCTTTGCTGCCAGAGCCGGAGCAAGAAAGGTTTTCTCCTTGCGGGGCAACAGCCCAGCCAATGAGAATCTGTCACAACTCAGCCGTGATGGCCACTACACTTCAAACTCCTGGGTTGCTCCTACATGGACTTTTTGTTTATAACAGCTCCTCCCAATTCTCCTCTTTTCTCTATAAAAGAGCATTCTTCTCCTTTGTTCTCTGGACTTGCTATGGTTTGCTAACACTTGTTTGTTCTGAATTACAATTCTTTGCTACCCTCAAATAAACCCATCTTTCCTGGTAAAATAACTGACAGTTTTATTTTTAAGGCTTTCAACTTTAACCATGGAGATGTCTAATAAGGAGACAACGTCAATCTCTCAGAGCACAAGATAGTGAATATTTAGAAGGGGTTCTTTCCTAAATGTGTGAACGCTCTTGTGAGCACAGCCAGTGGTTAAGATCACAGACTCTGAAGCCAGACAGACCCCTGGAATGGATATTGGCACCATTGCTCTCTGTCTCTGTGACCTGGGCAAGTCAATTAACTTCTCTGTGCCTCAGTTTGCCTCATCTTAAAATGGAGACAATAGCAGTAATTACCTCATAGGGTTGTTGCAAGGATTAAATGAATATATAATATGCAAAATGCTTAGAACTCTACATGGCACATAGTAAACTGCATTAATGAGAGTTATTTAAATAGTGCTTTTGTGATACACAATTACATTTTTCTTTAAAAAAATTCAAATTTTCCTTAAGGAATTTGAATCTAAAATTCGAAAGTCATCTTTTTTTTTTTTTTTTTTTTAAGATTTTATTTATTTGACAGAGCACAAATGAGCAGAGCAGCAGGCAGGGGAAGAAGCAGGCAGAGGGAGAAGCAGGCCCTTTGCCAAGCAGGGAGCCTGATCCAGGACTCGATCCCAGGACTCAGGATCATGACCTGAGCCAAAGGCAGATGCCTAACCAACTGAGCTACCCAGGCACCCCTAAAAGGCATCTTTTAAAAAGAGCTTTTAAAAATAAAGCTGTCTAGTATTCCTTTCCATAAAAGAGCTGTCTGAACCAAGGAAAAAATAAAGCCAGACCAAGGAACTGGTGTGGTGAATTGTATGGACCCTTGCCAGTCACTGAGGGTCTAGGGGCAGGCCCAGCCCCTGGTGTGGTAGGGATCTAGAGAAGACTCCCGACTGCCTTGGTTTCTTCACCTGTGGCAGTTGTACAGCGTGAATGAGGAAATGAACCTGGAGATGCTTTGTACGCATTAAAACCCGCAAGGCCCTGTGGAGCCAGACTCTGCCCTTGAGCACGCCTTACCTGAGCAGGCAGAGGAGACTTGCATCTCAGTCTCGAAAGACTAATGCATAAACCACTCTGGGCCAAGGAGAGGGGAGCTGGGCTGATCCTTTGCACAGCTCTCCGCCAGAGACTTCTTTACTCCGGAGCTTGTTTTAAAGTCATTGGGTGGGGATTAGTTAGTCCCTGGGACTGCAACAGGAGTAGGGAAGGTTCATGCTCTTGGGAAGGAATTAACCAATTAGCCACTTCCCCTTCCAGCTGGAATGGGATCCCATGACCAGGAACAAGGAATTCTAACTTGGTTTCTGGTACTACTTGAGGAGTCTTGCTTAGCAGGAGGAAGGAGGGATGAGATTCACAGGGTCAGGGCACAGAGCAGAGGCCTGAGCAGGGCCCAGGGACAGGATGAGTAATGGAAGGGATTGTCGGGGAGGCAGTGCAGGGCTCATCCTCTGGGGAGAGAAGAACGGGCTAGTTCCACAAAAACTTTCTCTCCTAGGAGAGAAATAGGTCACTTCCATTAAGTGTCGCAGAGCTGATGGGGTTAAAGCATGAGTTGCAGGCAGTGACCTGGGAACTGAGGAAGAGTGTAGAGAGTTTGGCTCATGAGGAGGCTTCAGACTGTGCTGGGTGAGCTCCCCAACCTGGCTCATCAGGGCTTTGTGTGGTGGCTATCTCTGAGGAGATTGAATGCCCCCTGGTGGCAGCCTGTGACCTACCAGCCTCTGTTT